ATACACGCAACAGAGGAGCCACATAAAGAAGGAGCCGAGGAGCCAGAGGAAGCTTTGCATGCACATAATAAAACCGGCCTGCCTCGAGTTAAGTTATACATGTTACAACAGTAAGTTTTGTCTGTTAAATTCCTTGCCTTGATTTTTAATATAGTAACTTGGCGCTGGTCATCCAGAGTGCATCCCCACCCAATCAAATTTTAATTGGTTTACAAATTTAGGAATTTAAATCCCATAAAAACCGAGTTGTGAGAACGTACATGAGCGGGCTTTGAAGACAGAGGGAATTAGCCTTAATTGCATTAACACCGTATATGGTACACCGGGCGACCTAATCGCCGCGCCTAAAGCACCTGATAAAGTCACGATTAACGAAAAATTAAATGCAACAAAAAGATGGACAAGTTGAAAGCAGAACTTTGACCTTTTTGTCTCAGACAGTAATGGTCTTTGGTGCTGACGGATTCTACCAAATATTGATAGCAAGAGGTCATGATGTTGCCTGTTTTACGGGTTTCTAGGTGCATGCCCAATAGCCTTGTCCCCTAATCCGTAAGCAATGAGACATGTGAGATAGGAGCGGCCGGAACTATCCAAGCATACGAGCCCGCCGACCAAATCGTAAGGTTGACGTGCCCAGGGGCCTTTGAAGTGAAGGCTACGAAACTTGAGGCTGTGATACGTTGGGCTAGCGTTTTAAGTCGGACAGAGAACCGAACAAAGTTGCCCCCACCAGGCCCGTCAATTACTGGCCCCACGGTCCCTTCACCTAAATCAGTAGTATTAACCTATCGAGCAGCATTTACACCAACAACATCACGCTGCACTGAACGTGATCCTGTAGTCCCACATAGGAAATCCGAATTTATCCCTCAAGCGCCAACTTCAAACCTCAACTCCAGAGGAGCAGCGAAAGCTGACCGGTTCAGCATTGGCCAGAATGGGAACCAGGTCCACGCTCAGGGACACCCGTCCAAGTTTCCGTCAGACGCGCTGACAAACGTGGCAGCGGTCGCTATGAGGGCACGGGCAAGCCTCAAACCCAGTAATGGACGGAAATCGCTGGCCCCAGATACTAGGAGGTCAAACCCCATGTTTGGATGTCTAGGACGCCTTGGCGGGTGCCCGCACTTTTACTTCTCATTTCCCGTAATAGAAGGAGACTTAACCCCACTATTCCAACAAAGAAACCTGGACGTTGATAGTGCTTGACTAGCATACTTTCAATACACACGGCGACGAGACCTGCTACTATCGTGCGATCGCACTTAACCTGATTCAGTGCGTCGCCACTCGTTGTCACGACCAAAGCCACCTTGGCTCTTTACTATATGCGTGAAGAATGCCGCAATAATGTGCTGGACTCCACACGTTAACTAACCCCCGCTCAGGTATGTCAGAGTAAACCAAAGACATAAAACTAATCGGGTACTCGGCCAACTGCGCTCTACATTGGATCAAATATATGAGCAGGTCGGCTAGAGCGCTACCAGTAATAGGTCCTTCGCGCATGTTGGAAAAAGTCGGGGACCCCCAGGACTGGAAAGACAGAAGACGTGAAAGAATGACGGACTGCACCGTTAGCTCAAACGGCGAATCTCTGAAGTGGTGAGGGATTACTGGCAGACCCCTGACCTCACACAGGAAACCCGACGCGGA